TGCTCCATCACTCCCTTGAGAAGTTCTCCCTCCGCAGGATTTACAAGAGCCCCTCCAGGATGTGGGACCTGTTTGTTGACAATTGCCTCTGAGGCTCCCTAGCCACATGCTAAGCTCCTCAAGGAAAGGGGCCATGCCTTCTCTTTCCCTTACATCTTCCACAGCACCCACTGCATGAACCAGCTTTTCTATTACTAGCTGTGGGGCCTTGAACAAGCTACTTAACTTCTCTGGGCCTCAAGTGTAACATGCAAATTGACCGAACTACCAAACAGCAGAACGACTGTCCAGATGACCTTCTGGATGACCACGCTATGACACGCATTGGCACCAGACCAGCCATGGGAGGTGTGATGCCATTGGTCAGGGGGGCCCAGCCATCGCCCCATGATTGCCCCACAGAGGGAGGCCCAGGCCACTGGCTGGTGGGGTGATCAATCGAGGGGGAAGAGGGGAAGTGGCGGCGGATGTGGGCAGCGCCAGGCCAAGGTGGGTGCAGGCGTGGGATGGGGCCAGCTGCCAGCAGCCAGGGGAAGACCAGGTCCCGGGTGCCGGGCCAGCAGCTGAAGGGAAGCCTGGGTGCCAGCAGCCAGAGGGAAGCCAGTGCCGGCAGCCGGGGGAAGGAAGGCCTACCCTTGCACAAATTTTGTGCATTGGGCCTCTAGTTTGTCTATAAAAAGCAGATAATAAATGTACTTACTTCACAGGCTTATTATAAGAAATAAGTGAAATACTTAGTATTAAATATTTAGCCTAGTATCTGACATGTAGCAGACAAGTCAGTACATATCAGCTATTAGTGGTGGTGGTATTATTATTCACCACAATAAATGTATCAAATAGGTATTACTCTCACCATTTTGCAATGAACTTGCTTGAGATTATGGAGCTTGGTAAGGCAAGGTTAGACTTGGACTCCAACTTGGTCTGGTTAATCAAAGGAAACAACACATGTAAAGTGCTGAGAAGAGTGCCTGGCACATAAATGGTCATTCTTTTTATTGTTTCTACCACCCTGATTTGTTCCATTAATATGTACTGAGTGCCAGCCATGTATGTGTCAAGCCCTGTCCACAGCAGGAAGAGCACAGTCTATCTGTCACTTGTGTTTGGAGCCCTCTTCAACCACTTACGTTTCTGTAAATCAGTTGCATGGTGCAGCCCATCCACAGGGGCAGGAACGGGGCACAGCAGGGCAGAGAATAGGAATCCTCCACCTTAACCTGTTGGTGCTACTTTCATCCCTCGAAATGGACTTTCTCTGTTCCACCCCTGGGCCTCGCCCGCTGCCACGTCCTCGGCCGCCCTAGGACGCATTCCCTCTCCTCCCGACTCCATTTCTGCCTTTAGAAACCCCCATCCAGCCATCAAGGCTTAAGACAAGTCCCCGCTGACCACAAGGGCTTCCTGGATCAGCCCACCCCGGGGTGGATCTAAAAATTTGAGAACCAGTATGTCAGGGGCACTGGTGGGTCAGGACACACCCCAGCTGTAAGTAACCATAAGGCTCTCCGACACTTCCTAGTTGAAGGGCAACCCTTGGAGGTCACTCAAATGGTACGTGGCATTGACTGCCTTCAATGGTCGGAATTTTTAACTGTTTCGTCCTTTTGCTCTTTCTCGGCGACCCAATTGTAAGCTTGTTTGAATTTCTCACAGCACCTGGCCTAGTGCCTTTATCATGTGTATCTAGTCAGAACATTTTTAGATGCAAGTAACAGAAGAAACAACTATCAGTGTTTTAGACAAATAAAAGGTTGTTTTCCCCAAAAACAAGGAGCCTGGGATAGATGACTGTCAGGACTAGCCTCTCTGCACATCTCGGCTTTTCCCTCATGTTTAAAAAAAACAGTCACCATGGCTCCAAACAGAAGAATAGGCACAGTGTCACCAGCAGTAACTGTCCCTTCACTCTTGCTCTCCCGCTTAAATCTTATTGGCCACAACGGTGTCACATGCCTATTCTTAGCTGCAAAGGAGGTTGGGAATCTAAATATTTTCCTTTTTCAGCCTCTGAGGTGAAGGTAGGCTTGGAATAAGGGGGCTAGGGCTGGGGCTGGACGTTGTATTAGATAGCCAGCCACCAGTGTCCACTGAACCACACCTGAATGAATGAATGAGTGAATGAATGAATCTAAGAGAGGGCTCCCACCTGGACAAGTCTGGGATAGAAAGAAATCTGGTTTCAGAGCCCTGTGTGGTCACTGGGTCAGGTCTGATGAGAGTTTGCTCCCAACTTTCCCTCAGGCCATCTTTCCAGCTCTCTTGCAGGCCCCCCTCGATTTGGAACCCTAATATAGCTCTTCACAGCCAGGAAAGACAGGCAGGGAGGAGGCCATCCCTTCTGCTGGTCCCTGCCCCCATCCTGTCCATACAAGATTGATAATGAAACCAATACCTTTCACCAGCGTAATTTTCATATTTAATGAGCGTGACTCAAAAACTATTACATTAATTAGTCAAATCCCACAAACCGTTAATGGTGCACACGGTAATTAATATCGTATTCAATTAAAAAATGACCTGTTTCGGGGGCCTCTCCAGGTTGGGGGCGTGGGGGTGTTCGCAGACACGCCGGGGAAGCCCTGTGGTTGTGGCTGCTCTTTCCTTTTCTTTCCCCAGCAGCGCTCCGTGGAGGGGAAGGCGCCAGGAGAGCGTGATCCTCCCTGCGGAGCCACCCGGCCAGGGACTGGCTCCTCTGTTTGGCTGCTCCCCCTCGGGCCCTTCCCCCTCTGCCAAGCCGACAGCCTACTTGCTGTGATTTATGGGAGGACCTGGCACAGGGCTCACAGACTGGAAAATTTCCAGTTTACACAAGAATTCCCTGAAAAATGAGCTTGGTTAATTTATTTCTTTCATTAACGAGTTTGAACTGTGAGATAATCTTTCTGAGTGGCCCCCCTGTGCCCACCCGGCATTGTTCACACATCCTGACAAGCTGTGCCCTCGCCTCCCTCCTGCCTAGCCAGGGCCCTGGGGGGCTGAGGGCCGGCCTCAGCGTGGCCTTAGTGCGTCTCACTCAGTCTGTCTGCCCACCGGCCGGACTGGGGGCCTGTGGCCAAGTGGGGATGCCCTTGTCTCCCACCCTGTTCATGCCTGGGATGGAAGCCCCGGCTGAATCAACAGGAGGCTCGGCTTCCTGTTGGCTCAGTGCGCTTGCAGAGGCCCTGGGCGCCAGGGCCAAGAGGAGCATAAGTCACATTGCTCCTCCGCCAGGACCTCCAGGCCCAAATGTGGAGCTAGGACTTACCTGCGAGACAGAGCTGGAGGGCAAGGCCTAAGACGAGGCCGCCCCTCACCTGTGTGGGCAGAGCAAGAGGGTCCAAGGGGTTGCCCACCTGTGTTTCTTCCACCTCTCTTCCCACAGGACAGCCAGTGCTCACCCCAAGCTTTGACCCTCTATGCCACACAGCTGGCTGCCTCCTGACCAGCCCTTGGGGCAGGTGTGAACATGTCGGTGGCTTGTTCCACCTCCCGAAAGTGAGCCCCGGAAGGAGGCCCACACAGGTAGGTGCTAGGTGGACAGGGAATTCTGGGATGCAGAGTGTGGTCTGCAAAGGGGCACAGGCATGGCTGTGGAAGTCCTTGTCCCATGGGGAGGAGCACAGCTGGAGGAGTGGCAGTGGGGCAGGGAGGGACCCCATTACCTAGGTATAGGGTCAGGTCTTATGAGATTATGGTGGAAACACAATTTGAAACCAGAGAAAGACAGGGTGAATCCAAGGAGGCAGCATGGTGTGTGGGTGGAGGCCGTGAGCTGTGGTGCAGGACCACCTGGTTGGAATCCTCACTCTACCACTTCCTGGCTGTGCAGCTACGGACAATTTGTATAACCTCTCTGGTCTCATGTGCACTGATACATCCTCAAAGAATCAACTGGACAATCAGCCTTCACGTTTTTCTATTCAAAAAAGGAAAACATGGCCCTAACTGTTTTGGCTCAGTGGATAGAGCATTGGCCCTCAGACTGAAGGGTCCCAGGTTTGATTCTGGTCAAGGGTACAGACCTCAGTTGCAAACTTGATCCCAGGCACAGTCAGGGCGCATGCAGGAGGCAACCAATCAATGAGTCTCTGTCACATTAATGTTTTTCTCTTTCTGTCTTTCCTCCTCCCTTCCACTCTCTCTAAAAAAAATCAATGGAAAAATATCCTTGGGTGAGGATTAACAAACAAACAAAACAAGAAAAG